ATTAAACATCTGCGAATACACAAGAGTTTGTGCAGTCCTCGCCATTCTGATATAATGTGAGGGGCAAGTAGGGTATTTTGCTCTAGACCTTCTGTCGGGCTGATTTTCTTTTTGTTCGAGTGATTGGCTCGCTGCGCATTCAGCTTACTTCGGATTTAATGACGTAGAGGTGAAATTTCCACTGCTCAGAGGGCTAGCGCAACACTCAATACCTAGCTGTTAGAGAGCACTTTTCAGCTGTAGATCTCAAAGCACTTTACAAAGACAACTTACCAAGGGGCATGGTGGATTCTCCATCACTGACAAGTTTTAAATCAAGCTTGGATGTCTTTCTAAAAGCTCTGCTCTAGGAATGATTTTGGGGACATTCGCTGGCCTGTGTTATACAGGAGGTCAGACTAGAGGATCACAACAATCCCTTCTGGCCTTGGAATCTCTGAAATTTTCCACCAGCTACGGCTGAGTTCAGAGACAGCAACACGCTTTGTTCTTCAGCCCTCTGGTGCTACAAGTGTGAGTTCGTCTCAGACAATGGAGGAAGGGCCCTTCACAGAGCAGTGAGTTAGCTACAGGGTAATAGGTTTCAGAGTGGCATGACTAGTGAGAAGGGTGTGGGTAGGGAGGGGTTGGGTGTGTGAGGAAGCACTCTCCCCCTCCCCCCCCCTCCCATACTGCAGCTTAGTGGATGAGATGGGGCTGCCAAAGAGAGCGAAAAGAAAGGGGGAAGGGCTTGTTTTGTGTGAAAATGGGAACTATAGTGGCTGCATCTCAGCAATCCAGTCTAGCAACTAGCCCAGCACTGCAGAGTTAGCTACCCCCTCTCTGCAGTCTTCCTGTGCTCTCAGCAGGGAGGGAGGCTTCATTTATAGCTGCTGAGATGGCACTGCACAAGCAGCAGCAGAAATGCAGGCAGGAGCATTGCTCATAGCATCCCTCCCAGGCCCAAGGTCCCTTCCACAGCCATCGTCTCATGGACCTCTTCCGTGTTACTGTCTAACGTTGAATGGCTCCCCAGACTGGGCTCCGTAAGAGCAGGCAAAGAAGAAAACTCCTGAAGCCTGGAAAGTCAGCAATAAAAGAGAGATCCGTTTTATCACAAATACTATAGCAAAGCAAACGTCAGAAGTTTGCCACAGTAGCTGAAATAAGGTACCTCCCCCTCTCCCAGGCTGAAGTTATTACAACAGCCAAGGGCGGATTAAACTTTTGTAGGGCCCTGGGCCAGAGCAAGTGGGGGCCCCTTCCTACCCCTTCTGCTTGCAGTGCCCCCCGCTCCCTGCCCCCCCATTCCTGCTGGGGAGTGGGGTGGGGGCTCGGGGGCTTCCCCCGCTCGCTGCCATGAGTGACAGGTGGGCAGAGCAGGACAAGCTCCGACCCTGCTCCCCAGTAGGCGCACTGGACAGGCGGGTGGAGCGGGCTGGGGCACGGGGCACTGATTTTTCCAGGGACCCCCAATTGGCCGGGGCCCCATGGCACAGGCCCCGTTGGCCCAGTGGTTAATCTGCCACTGACAATAGCAAACTGCAGATGCAAATGTAAGCTACTGGTCAGTGTGTGTTGTGTCCCTCCCCCACACAGGCACAATCCACAGACAATGTGAGTCTGCTACAGCTCTCAGCTGGCTCTTTAGCTCCGGAGGACTCGGGTTCGGTCTCTGGTGGGAGCCAGGATGGCGGCCTTACACAAGCGTCTCATTTCACTTGTTCCTGCTTTCTCTGGCTGCGCTTTGTTTGAATGTGGCGTGGGTCTGCTCTAAACTCTTATTGACTTCAACAGGAGCAAGTTGTGCTTCATTCTCAGCACTGGCTAGTCTAGTCTCATTGTCTGGGTGAGCTACAACAGTCCCCTCTCCTCTATCCATTGCCACATGTGAATAGTCTGTAACAAAACTCACAGGAAAGACAACTGGAGGGAATTAAGTCCACCGATGACTGAAGGGGATATTCCCACCATGACGTGAACTATGGCCACCTGAGATCTGACCCCACAATGATGTCCCCATGTGGTACTCCAGAAGCAGAAGGGAACCACTATGGCCCAGGCCCCCAAAGATCAATAAACTCAATGGGCCCATGTTCTAATCTATTTTGTTCTTTTATTCAGGTTCACATATAGCCCTCATCATTGTAGTATCTGAGCACCTTAGTTCCCTTCCAATAGGCCATAGGGATAATTCCTTCCCAGTCAGGCCAGGGGAACGTGCCCCCCCCCCCCACTTTTTACAAGCCATAAGGGTGAGCAACAGGGGGACGGGGTGAAGAAGAGTGAGTGGAGGGTAGGGTCTTGGGGTGGTGGAGAGGCAGCCTCGGGGGAAGAGGTGGTGCAGGGACGGGGGCTCAGGGAGAAGGGGTGGGGCAGGGTGGGGTGTGGCCTCAGGGGGCAGGGTGGCGGGGCAGGGCAGAGCCTCGCCGGGGGCAGGGCGGTGGAGCCATGGTTTGGGTGCCTGTGGCCCTCCTACTTTTAGTGTGTGTCTGCCGTTCCTGTTCCCAGTCCAAGTACCTGTCAGTTAGAGCAATTACGCCTTATTTCCAGTGTGAATTTGTCCAGCTTTCATCTTCCAGCTACTGGAACACATTATACCTTTGTCTGTTAGAGAGAAGAGACCATTATTAAATATTTGTTCCCCTTGTAGATACTTCCAGACTGTAATTAAATCCCCCCTTAGCCTTCGATTGTTAAGCTAAATAGACTGAGCTCAAGTCTCAGTTTTTCTAATCCTTTAATCGTTCTTATGGCTCTTCTCTGAACCCTCTCCAATTCATCAACATCCTTCTTGAATTGCAAGCACCAGAACTGGGGACAGTATTCCAGCAGTGATTGTCCCCCCAGTGCTAAACGCAGAGGTAAAATAACCTCTCTTCTCCTACTTGAGATTCCCCTGTTTGCGCATGCCAGGGTCACATTAGCTCTTTTGGCCACACACTGAGAGCTCATGTTCAGCTGAGGCAAAAGGGAGTTTATTTTTAAATCTCCTCTGAGAGTTTCACTTATTTAATCTAAATACCACCAATGCCGACTCAGGGACATGCTCACCTGGGATCTGAAACCCTACATTGTGGGGAGGGAGAATTCCAACAAGGCCAGGCTGTGAACCTCTGTCTGCCAGTGGGGAGCAGTGCCTCCCATGAGTGAGCCCATTGACTGCAAAGGGCAAGTCGCTGCTCACCAGTGAGAAGAAGGGTCTAGCAATCGGGCCCTAAATGATTAGTAACGATGACAATTCATTTAAGGAGGTGTTTGTTTAGGGTTCTGTTCAGATCTTGGACCCACATGCACAGCAACAGACGTGTACATAGAAGGGGCCTGCAGCAGCCTCTGCTCAAAATGGTAACGGCCCTGGCCTGCTGCAGCCCTTCTGGAGCTCTGTTGCCACAGATATGTTCTGGGGTCACAAATGCTGCACTCAAACTTCCTAAGAAGGGGGCATGATCTCTCCGCGGGGAGAGGGGGAGGTTTGGGTTCTGCGCACTAGCTATTAGCGTACTCCTATGGCACTGCTCTCCAAACTGTGGGCGTGGCGCAATGTTCTGGGAGGTGCACAGCAGGGCCCAGGCCAGCCCCCCATGGGGGAGCAGAGAGAGAGAGCGTCACCCAGCTCCGCTCTGCCTCCAGCCCCACTCCAGCCCCACCCGCAGCTCCACTCCACCCCCAGCCCAGTTTAGGGTTGCCAACTTTCTACTCACACAAAACCAAACACCCTTGCCCCACAACTTGCCCCGCCCCTCCTCTGAGGCCCCACCCCCACTCACTCACACTCCCCACCCTCATTCACTCACTCACTCATTTCCATCGGGCTGGGGCAGGGGATTGGGGTTGGGGTGCGGGGAGGTGAGGGCTCCAGCTAGGGGTGTGGGCTCTGGTGTGGGGCAGGGGATGAGGGATTTGAGGTGCAGGAGTGGGCTCTGGGCTGGGGATAAGGGGTTTGGAGTGTGGGAGGGGAATCCAGGCTGGGGCAGTGGGTTGGGGTGCAGGGGGGTGAGGGCTCTGGTTGGGGGTGCCGGCTCTGGGGTGGGGCTGGGGATGAGTGATTTGAGGTGCAGGAGGGGGCTCTGGGCTGGGGATGAGGGGTTCAGAGTGTGGGAGGGAGCTCCAGGCTGGGGCAGTGGGTTGGGGTGTAGGGGGTGAGGGCTTTGGTTGGGGGTGCTGGCTCTGGGGTGGGGCTGGGGATGAGGGGTTCGGAGTGTGGGAGGGAGCTCCAGGCTGGGGCAGAGGGTTGGGGTTGGGGCACGGGGGGGGGGTGAGGGCTCTGGCTGGGGGTTCCAGCTCTGGGGTGGGGCTAGGGATGAGGGGGTTGGGTTGCAGGAGGGGGATCAGGGCTGGATCAGGGGTGCAGGCTCTGGGCGGCACTTACCTCAGGCGGCTCCCGGAAGCAGCAGCATGTCCCCCCTCCAGCTCTTAAGCTGAGGCGCGTGGCCAGGCATCGCTGCGCGCTGTCCTGTCTGTAGGTGCCACCCCCGCAGCTCCCAGTGGCCGCAGTTCCCGGTCAATGGGAGCTGTGGAGCTGGTGCTTGGGGTGAGGGCAGTGCGCGGAGCCCCCTGGCTACCCCTACACAGAGGAGCCGGAGGGGGGATATGTCACCGCATCCAGGAGCCGCGCAGATCCATGGCAGGCAGGGAGCCTGCCTTAGCCCTACTGCGCGGCCAACCAGACTTTTAATGGCCTGGTCAGCAGTGCTGACCGGAGCCGCCAGGGTCCCTTTTTGACTGGGCGTTCCAGTTGAAAACTGGACACCTGGCAACCCTAGCCCAGCTCTGGGCCCAGTCACAGCTTTGCTCCACCCCCTGCTCCAGCTCCAATCGCAGCTCCACTCCAGCTCCTGCTTCTCCCCAGTACAGCTCTGCCCTCATTCCCTCTCTGCCCCCCAGCCAGATCTGCCTCTGGCCCCAGTTCCTCCCACATCCCCAACTCAGCCCCAGCACCGCCTTCAGCCCAAACTCTGCTGAACCAACTGTGCAGTAATGGGGGTGGGGTGAGGGGGGGCACGGACAGATTCCATTACTGGGCGGGGGGGAGGGAGCCTGACAGGAAAAATTGGGGCCCCAGTGTCCTATAGGAAATTATCCTATCGGGAGCAAGTTTGGGGCACAAGTTTGTGGAGTCAGCAACTGCAGGATTGACCTTCCTTTAGGGAAGTGTGTTCCACATACTTGCTAGCACAAACTGTGTGTGTGTGGGTGTGGGGCTTCTCGGAATTGCATTAGATAAGGAGCTTTCTGCCAGCAGCAGCATCAACAGCATGATAAATCATTGGGATTCTGCATAACTTCTGGCTCACCCGGGATGTCAATATCAAGTGGATTTGTGATCCTTCTTGGGGCGGGGGTGGGAATGCAGGGACTGCAGGTGTGCCTTGAAACTGCAGAAAGGAGTGGTCCTTGCACCTCCCTTTCCCTCTGCACCCACAGAGCAGCCGAGTACAATTTGGCTGAAGCATGAAAAAAACCCACCCATCTACAACCACATCCATGCAGACAGATTCTGCTGCTACAACAGACTGAGCAGTTTCAATATAAGCTGTGCTGCCTTCCAATGGGCAGAGATACACCTGCTTTCCAATTGTTTGATTCTGCTCGCCCTGTAAAATGAATAAACTTTCAATCTTGCCCGTGGTCTTTTTGCCTAACCTCTATGAAGTCTCTGTGAATGTAATATCCAGTGTGTGTGTGTTTATTCTGGACCAGGCCTGCACATACATTTCGAAGCAGTTTGACATTGTCCTAGTCATTGCTATTACCATTCTGCTTCAGATTTAATGGTAACATATTGTGCTATACAGTATGAATCAGCACAACTGACTTCTTCCAGTAAACCATGTGCTGTCTGCTTGTGTTTTGAGGACTGCATTATGCTAAAGTCAGATGATCAGAAGCTTGGGGAGGGGAGGTTTGCATTAAAGTGTTTTGCTGGGTGATGATTAAAAAGGCTGGGGTGAGCTGATAGATTATGAAGAGACGGGCCTGATTCTGCGCCACTTGAAGTCAGTGGCAAAACTTAAAAATGGAGTCCACAGGTAGCAGGATCAGGCCTACTGAGTTCAATTCCCACCACTAGGTAGGTTTTTATCATCTTTGGACTTGCGTAATCATTCTGGATTTCTGACTGGCTCTTTGAGGGGGCTTAACCCCCATCACCTGCAAGGCAAAGGAAAGACTGCCAATTAGTCACGTTACTCACGACCCAGGTGTGGAGCTAATTGGCTCTTGGCTAGAGGAGGCAGAGCTAGGCCTTATAAGTGGACTGAGGGAGCTCACTTGTGGGAGATGGTAGAGGATATAGGTCTTTCTGGTGGGGAGAAGCCCTGGGAGTGGGTTTAACAGACAGGGAACAATGGAGGCAGAAAGCCACAGGGTCAGGTTAGGCTCCTGCAGGGGAAGTCTGAAGATTTGTTTTGGACTTTCATAGGACTTGTTTGTGTCACCCTAGAAGGGAGTTAGTGTCATGTGACTTGGCTGGAGGGCCAAGCCCCAGAACACTGAGAGGGTGAGTTGGGAGGAGATGAAAGCTGGGGAAAGGCCATTGCAGGGCTGAGGGAGGGCCCAGTAGGGTGTGCCAGAGATGAGGATCCCATGTGATGCTATGACCAGAAATGAGGGGTGCCCATGAGGTGAAGATGTGCTTTTACTCCATTTTATTTCACTTTTTGATGAGAGGAAGGAAATGACATGTTGATGGTCAAAGGTCCACATTTTGCAACAGGATGTACTGTACCACAGCGCAGCTGGCAAACAGTGAGCACAAAAAGTGTGTGAGATTTGTATGGGCCTGTCTCAGAAAGATAGTACGTGAGCTCCATCTATGCTCTTACAGATTGACCCATTGCTGATGATAGATGGGTTATGCTAAACTAGTGCACAACACATCTTAAAATTATGTTCAATACCATTGTGTATAGTAAATATTAGACACAAGCCTTGTCCACACTAGGGAATGTACCTTGTGTTGACAAAAGGTGTCTGCTGAAAACAGCTCAGTGGTAAGACAAGACCCAAACTGAGTTTGGCACCCTTTTAAAAAAAGCTATATGGCCTCCATCTCTGTCAGATCTGAGCACCACATGATCTTTTAATGTATTTATTCTCATGATACCCCTGTGAGGTAGGGAAGGGCTATTAGCCCCAATTTATAGATGGGGAACTGAAACACAGATTTTTTGAGGCCTCGATTTTTAAAGGTACTTAATAAAGCAGACCAGAAACTGGATGTACCTCCCTCAGAAAATTGATGTTTTTGAAAGATGTCTCAAATCAGGGCAAAAACATCAAAAATGCAAAATTTTTCTTTGGAAGGGATTTCCCCAAAAATTCTGGGAGAACGAAAATGGAATTTTTCATCTTCCTGGATGTTCATCAGGAGGATTTTTGTCAATTTCATGGTCTCCCAGCTCTTGTCAATTTCACTTTCTTCTGTCAGGTGGAAAGTGAAATTGACATGAGACTTCCAGGCAGGCTGCTGGAGGTTAAGTGCCCCAGCTCTCTGCCTCTCCCTGCTGCCTAGTAGCTGGAGAGGCAGCCAGGCAGTGAGGGGGAGAGTTGGGGATGCTCAGCTTCTGGCAACCCTCCTGAAAGATTCTTGTCAATTTCATTTT